ATGAAGATTTTTTTTTTTTTTTTTTTTTTTTGTCATAGTAGTCGCTACTATTGCATGAACCCACTTCTAATGTCACAATTACGGGAGTGAGTAGTCATGTGAGCGTGGTGTCACAACCATACTATGAAGAGAGTAGGTTGTGACCCTCACGTCATGACAAGCAAAGCGGCGTCCCTCAAGAGACGCCCATCTGGCCACAGGCGAGCCAATATAGAAGAGTGTCATGATGCGGTCGAGGAGGACGATGCATCATCCAACACACCACCACGCGAAGTGGGATCGAGATGACAAGATGAGATACAATGTCGCATTGAGAGACCTTGGCCCGAGCAGGAGCAATGTCGAGCCGAATGACTTGGCCTAGTGTAGAGGCAGGTCGGATGTGTCGCAGACGATTGAACATGCATGCGCAGGCAGTGGGATTGAGATGACAAGATGAGATAGAACGTCGCATTGAGAGACCTTGGTCCGAGCAGAGGCAAGGTCGAGCCGAATGACTTGGCCTAGTGTAGAGGCAAGTCGGATGTGTCACAGGCGATTGAACGTGCATGCGCAGACAGCATGTGTGGTTGAACAAGCTTGGATTCCGCACCAGCGATCTTCAATTGGCGAAGACAAACCTCGCCTAAGGTTTGACGAAGCCAAAGCCGGGGCGAAAGCGATTGAACATGCATGCGCAGACAGCATGTGTAGTTGAACAAGCTTGGATTCCGCACCAGCGATCTTCTATTGGCGAAGACAAACCTCGCCTAAGGTCCGACGAAGCCAAAGCCGGGGCGAAAAATATATATGGGGCTTAATTTCACGCTCACGACGCACGGTAAAAAAATGGGCGTGCACCCACTTATAATGAAGCTGTCTGGTCGTGTGAGAGTGAGGAGGGCGATCATGCATGCACCCGCTCCTAATAGATTGTCGCAATCAGTGGAATGAGTAGTTGAGTGTGAGTGAGAAGGTCGATTATGCCAATAAAATTTTATGAATTTTTTATATTCGACAAATTGATAATTTGATACCAAATCTCTTTTATAATTCCCCAAAAATAAGAGATTGAGCTGAATGAGATTTTAAAATAAAAATTTATTTTAATTTTTTCAATTTAGTTTTTATGTAATTACACAACCAAAAATCAAGATCCGAATTCAATCTGAAGCGTTTGTTAATGCTTTATAGAGATCCAATGGTGGACAGGTCTGGGGGCTTCAAAATCCGCCTCATAAACACAAACCTCAACCCATTTCTCCATCTCTTCAATTCGTTTGCAATTTACACACAACTGTAAACAATGGTAAATTCTACCCTTCACTTTTTCCGTATTTGATTTCCCCTCTGTGATTGATAATCTTGCACTTGAGCTCGTTATAGGCGTTGATTTAATTTGATACTACGATCTTCACGTGTGTTTGTCACCGATTTGAACCCATTTCTTCCAATGCTGTTCTCTTTATCTCTCATAATGCTTGATTCGATAGTGTATACTTTTGAGATTGTGATTATAATTGAATCGCTTAGAATCTCTGATCGGATCAAACTAATTCATGCACACACATTCATCTGGGCGCTAATATTTGGTTTTGGAGGTAGAATGATCCGATGTTCAGGATGTTATTAGCAGGAAGATCGCCAATTTTTTTCTCTCCCTCAAATGAACACTGTTATGTTTCTTCCTATCGTGGTTTGCCAGGGTAAACTTTTGAATTCCATATGAGAAGATGAATGAAATTAGATATAAGCTTGCAAAAGTTATTCTGTCGGCTTGGGTTTTGAATCATGATGAACGATTAGAATTTTCTTATGTTAGAGCGGTACCTCACTGTTGCTGGTGCAGCCTGAGTCACTCATAACAAATCCATAATTCTTGCTTGTTTCTTCGTCAAGATCATCCATCGGACGTCTAGGCCACTGCTATAAAACCACTATGATGCTGAATCGCTGATATGCATACCTGTAGTATTACTACAAATACTACGGATTTTCATGTGATGATTCTTTGCTCTGTACGTGGATTTGATGTAGGATTCCTGTCCTTCAATAAAAAATATTCTCCTGTTGGATTCTGACGGGAAACGTGTGGCCGTCAAGTATTACTCAGATGAGTGGCCAACAAATAATGCAAGGGAATCTTTTGAGAAATCTTTATTTAGCAAAACTCAAAAGAGCAATGCTCGAAATGAAGGTAATCCATTGTTTATGGCTTTTTAGCCTCTCTTTTCACCGTCTTAACGTTTCCATGGAACTATTACCTTCTTAGAACCAAGATAGCATTGAGATAAAACAAGAAATATGCTCCAAGTAGTTTTAGAAAAGTTTGATACTTCTATATACTGTTAACTTGTTATTTATTGTTTATCTGCAGCGGAGATAACGATGTTTGAAAGCAATACTGTTGTTTACAAGTTTGTGCAAGACCTACATTTTTTTGTCACTGGTGGAGAATATGAGAATGAGCTCATTTTGGCGACTGTTCTTCAGGGATTCTTCGATGCTGTTGGCCTTCTCCTGAGGTCTTATCTTTATAACACTTATTACTGTTTACTGGTTATCAATTTCCCTGCTGTATTTTCTGTATTTCACTGCGAACTTACGCTCACATTTACTGTATGTTGCTTCTACTTCAGGGGTCACGTGGAAAAGAAGGAAGCACGTGAAAACTTGGAACTTATTTTGTTGTGCCTTGATGAAATTGTTGATGGAGGGTATGTTTTTAGCTTATTTCATGCTTTTAAAGTTAATCAATCCTATTGTTCTGTTTAGTTTTCTTGAGCTTTTAAGCATATTTGTCAAAAATGTACTGTGAATAGTTTTTTAATCCTGATTTTATCTAAAACGTAAGAGATTTAAATACATATATTCGGAATGAAATATGTATACTCGATACAATCGGTTTAGGAGATATCTTACAAGGTTGTTTTATTTGAGTAAGATGTCATCATGGTTGTTTTATGGAATATGGAAGGAAGTTCTAGAACATTGTCATGAGGCACAACTTCCCTCCATGAGCATCACACAAACTAGTAATGAGTTGGACAACCTCACTCGATGAGTATGCTACAAACTAGCAATGAGTTAAAACAGTATTATAGTACTGAAATAGATTTAGTATAGCTGTTCCAACAATTGTTTTGTGTGTTATCTCTTGTCCTTGGCTGCTTGAATAAGATGGAAGTGTATAGAAGTAAGAACTGCATCCAAGGTTGCGTTGATATGGAAACCATTTTTTTGTTAGGAAAGAATCTATCGTTGGTTCTAGTTCTGTTCGTATATCTTGGTATTTGCAAATATCATGATTACTATTGTAGCAAAGCTCTCATTTAAGCATTCTACTTGACCAAATTTACCCTCTTCCTCCACATTGTCATCCAATGATTAAATATTGGTTCCCTAAATGCACTCAAGGAAAACGTTTGTTCGAGCATATTTTCTCCTACTATTATTTTTATGCAAGAAAAATGAAAGGGAATACCTATTAGTGCTAAATATACTTTTGAAAATATTTTATGTTAGTGATAATTAAGTTAACTAGTAACCTCTCTTAAAGATCAGAAGTTTGATTCTCTATCCCTCCCTTTAGTAGAACTTTAAGAGAGGGTCATAGGATGCAACTGCGTTTGATATCTTATTTCATTGAACGGCAATATCACTAGATTTAGATGCAGTGCAAATCCATGATACGTGCATTGCAAGTCTTTTAGTTTGATGTTCCATTTGTCTTTAAAGTTACTCAATTAGTGATGGCACTGGTTGTTTTGCGAGCTAGTTTAAACTGCTTTATATTTATGAAGTATTGTTCTTGAGACCGATGGAAATGTCATTGCTGGGAAAGTTGCAACTCAAAGTATAGATTCTTCAGCTCCTTTGTCTGAGCAGGTATTATTACCCTCTTTCCTGTTTGGGTTTTCCTCAAAGCGATATTTCTAACGTTGAGAATTGAAATGGTAAGACAAATGGATGTAAACCAACTCATTCTTATGCACAGACAATTAGCCAAGCACTGGCAACTGCACGTGAACATCTCACGAAATCTCTTCTTACATGACGTATACGCTTGCTCATGGGGGGAGGAGCATGGAGAAAATACCCTTTGATCCGACTAGTGGTTTAAAACGACACAAAGAGTGGTTCGTTCCCATCACCTTGGAGTTGCATTTTTTTTTTTTCTTTTTTCAGTTTCATAGACAATCTCTCGTAATTTGAAGTTCCTGCTATTGGAACCTTTACTTCATACCTTTCTTTTTCCATAAATGGTGCTTATTGAATTGTTTCGTGTAAACTTGATAAAATTAGATGTCGGAGGTATATTATAGTTCATTAATTGATTTGATTTGAGGATCCATTACTCAAGGATGGCCTTTCTTGATGTAAACTTTCTTTGTAGAGTTGTAATTAATCCTTGTCTCTCTATATTCATTTCTGTATAATATGGGGCAAAAATTAAGTAGCATAACTTAGGCTCCCAGCGAAGTTGTGTTTGCGTAAAATGTCTAATCCACTTCTGCACCTTAGGTAGTTTATTAGAAGACGCCAAAATGTGGAGTCCTAAATGTAAAAAAAAAAAGAGTAACTTATACCCCCACAAAACACTTCTCCAAACCTATCATTTCAAGCAAGGTAAGAAAAATAACATTACAAATGACACAAGCACTACGCCAAGGCAAATGATTTCACTCCCAAAAGACCAAAGGATAAACATATCTCCTTCTCAAGGTTATATTATATACAGTAAGTTGTTGTTATTTCTCTCTTACTTGCTTATATAACGTATCTTTCGAAAATCTCTCTGCTCTCGCTTTCTAAAACCTTCTCTTAAAACCAAGGCTAGAGGCTCGAGCGCTTGGCCGTAGGCAACGCAAGA